AGCAGGGTGGTGTTGTCCACATTTGTGTTCTGGCATGTTTCCGCAGTCTGGATCCTGATTGTCTCCATGTCCCACAACAGATCCTCGTGCTTCATCTCTTCTCTGATTGCGCATGGATTGATGACGGGGTCTGTGTGAATTTTCGTTGGTATTCCCGTTACCTTTTGGCTTCCACGGTGTGCCATCTGCTGTATGAAGGAGGGAATGCGTCGGTTTATTTTGTTGTTGGGTTGAAGTTGTTGTACGTCAATATCCATTTCGGATCATGGATGGTGTCGTCGAAGGCCCACCCATCGTAGTCTTGGTCATTGATGAACCAGATGCCCTTCGCTTCGTCCACTTCCACCATCATGTTCTATTTCAGCTTTTTTTTCTTTTGAAGGTTTAGGGGACCGTGGGCAGAATGGGTCAGTGCCCAGGTGGCCTCTTTCACTACACCTGAAACAGATGGAGGTGTCTTTTGTTGAAATTGTGACTATGGATGCTTCGTCACCAATGCAAAATTCACATTCGTCTGGGAATTCGGGGTTCGTCTCAGAGTTCACTTCCAAAACTGCAGTGATGGAGTCGCAATTAGGGGCCATAAATTCTGGCTTTGGGAGGACCCATTTCAGCACTTTGTTCTTCGGATACTTGACCTCCAATCGGTCTTTGATCAGTGGATGACCTCTGACGGGGATGTTATCAAACTGGACCCAAAATTTGTCCCTCACGAGTCGCTGTTTTTGTGCTGCTGCCTGCGAAATTGTGGCTTTCTGAGCCGTTTTGAGTTTCCACCAGGACAGGGTGCAAACCGAGCCGTTGCAGTTCAGCGTGGTGTGCTTGTTTATCAGGTTGGATGCCTGATCGGGATCTTTGAAAACCACCATCATCATGTTCTTACTCAGTACTAAAATTGAAATTTTGTCTGTGCTGGTCTTGATGTTTTCATGACCTTGGCCTGTCTTTGAGAGCCATTTCCTCTTCTCAATTGCTGGGAGGCGGGCGCCTGTGCTGGAGAAGGTGAACACAAGGTCATGTTTGGCATACAGTGCGTTGGTTGACGGGTAGCACCATACCGTTACTTTTTTCTCTTCCCCATTTTGCTGGATCTTCTTTGTGATTTTCTCTCCTTTGCTTTCTGAGGATTCCAGCAGGAATCGAGTGTCTCGTGGTCGACGAGGGGTCTGTTCAACTGTGTTGGGTTCTTGCCTGCATTTTGTGATTTGCCCGCTACGACTGAGGCGAAGCGGCGTTGGAAGGTCACTGTCGTGGCCATGTCGGCCAGAGGCTGTGACACCAGGGTGCGGTGAGGGTGGGCGAGGTGAGAAAGATTTTGAGTAACAGTTAATAGAATGAAATCCAAATAGATTAAGACTATTAGAATAGATAGAATGGGAGGGGGGTGGTATGGGGTGTGGAGGGTCTGATCGGGGGCTGTCGGGTGGAGGGTCCTGTATTCCGTGGCTGAGTCCATTTTTTTTATTTTTTATTTTCCCTGCCTTGTCAGATTATGATGTCGTGTGTGGCTCTCCTATCTTCAGCTTCGAATTGACCATTTTTCCGGGGCGCGTGTTCGTGGAGAATTCAGGGTCGCTACAGCTGCTCACAGCTGGTCTACGTCGAAAGTTGGGCTGCATGCATGGGCATATGCTGGTCTATCCAGTGCGGGGATCGGGTTCGTTTAGTATTGGGTGGTGGCGGGGTGGGGGGGGCGGGGGATAAAGGGGTTTGAGGGATTATAGTTGGATTTTTTGGGGGGGTTGGGTGAAGAACGCGTTTGGTTACGTGGGCACCTTGATGAGGGATAAGGGGGCTGGATCGCCGGGGTTTGTCAGACGAGGAAGATCAACTGGCTCTCGCTGGTGGAGCGTGGTCGGAGGTAGGAAAAGGGAAAGGGGGGGGGTCGATGGAGCCGACAAGTGGATATGGGTCGGAGAGGTGCTTATTGTGGTGGCGAGTGGATGGACATCGCGCGAGTGGGAGCGTTAGTAGTGTATTTGTTAGGCGGACGGGGAGAAGGGAGGTGACATCGAGGGGGGGGATGTGATCGGTAGGAGGGAGAAAAGACTAGGCAAATGTATTGCTCGTTGTGATATCAGTGATCGCGCCAGGGTAGGAGCTTGAACAGAGAGTTGCAAGATGAGTGGGGGGTGTCAGACGAGGGAGAGTGCAGGTTCAGAGTTGATGGGGCTGGGAGGGGTAAGATGAGGTAGAAGGTGTGTGGTGGTTGTAGGGGATGGAGCAGGGGGCTGGAAGTGAGAGAGGAGGTGGGTTTGGGGGCTGAGGATTGGAGGTGTGAGCGCTTAAAAAAAAAAAAAAGAAGGGGGTGGATGTGAACTGCTGCGTGGGTAGACGGTGACTGTTGTGCTGCAGGGTTGTGTCGGGAATGTTGGGGGAAGCGGGAGGGGGGGAGGGGGGATGGGCTGTCTCTTATACACATCTAGATGTGTATAAGAGACAGCTGGAATATTGCTTTCATGAAAAGTGCTCGGTTCTTAATGAATGTATTCTCCTTCTCTTCTATTATCTCCCCTCCCTCCCCTGCAAT